CCGTTATGTACAATAAGGACAGACCTGTTCTCAGTGCAAATGAATCGCTAGCTATGGGTCAATATATGGCAACTCAACAAAACTGCAGTACATCTGAGGATTGGCTAAAGTGTTTGCGAAGCGTTGACGCAAAGGATATAGTGTCGGGAACTTTATTAACATACCCGGCGTTGGGCACTGAGTTTCTGCCCATTTCTGCACAAAAAGCATTTGAGACTAAAAAGTTTAATTCAGGTTTGGATTAAAATATTCTTATAATTTATACATATAGAATTTTAAATTTATATTTTAACTTGCTTAATTAAGTCGTTAATAATATAAAGTTGTCAGAAACGTAGCCACACATTTCAACTCAGTTTGTTTAATATAACATTTATAAATAATTTTGTCGTAAGTTGTAGTAAGTTGTAATCATACTATTGTCTATTGCATTGTCTAATTATATCATAGCAAGAACATATTTGTAATAACTTTATAACATACATTCAAACAAACCTAGACATAGACCTAATGGCTGGAGTGGTTCGCAACGAAGGCGCGAGCTTTATAAACCTTGTGGTCAAAAACCCGGATAACATAACTGTAGACCAGTTTAAGTTTGGCATAAAAATGGCCGATTTGGAGTATCACAACATAGACATTGAAAACGTGACCGCATTTTACTTGCAAAACGTCAACACCAGTAGCTCTCAGGCCCTCCGGTGGGCCATCTCTGACTTTGTCGGCGATTTGACGCTCAAGTGTCCGACATATCTGTTCGCCAAACAGTTCGCCATAACTGTGAAGGAGTGGCAAAGGGTTTACTTTTATGAACTCCTTTACGGAAGTAAAAGATTTTCTCAAATCATTGGTTGCGATGAGAAAACTGAAGGTATCTGTCATGCGGAGGACATACCGTTTGTATTTGGTTTACCCTATATTTATGAGAAAGACTACGAACCGGAGGATATGTTTTTCAGTCGAGAAGTCATGAAAATGTGGACTAAGTTTGCGAAAGACGGGTATATTATATGCAATTATAATTATTTATTTCATTTTTGTTTATTTTAAAAATCGATTATAATGTTAATATCCAGACATCAAGACCAGGAATGGCCGCAATTACTGAATAACGATGGCGTGGATGGCGTTCCCCTTGTGAAAGGTCTGGACCCGACAAATATGACACTCGTATTGAGTGATCCCTTTCACCGCACATGTGATGGCATTTGGAGCACATATTTCCTGTGATTATGTTTTAATTTTAAGGAAATTAAACATAAAATGATTGCCTATTTTTAAGAAATATGGCTAATATTAAAATAAAATAAAATAATCTAAAATTCAATGCAACCAGTACATTGTTAGTACGTTTTACATTGTAGTGTTAAATATTTGCTTATCAATCATACTTTGGAATTATTCAAAGGGATTAATTTGAGCATGCCTACATTGGCCCAGATATCTGAGTTATAAAGGGATAACAAATTTATTTTAAAACGGTTTGAATTCAAAATCTGTTTTTGTCTGCAATTTGCTAAATAGGAATTAATTTTTATTTTTACATTATATTGTATTCGCAATTGTTAGAAATGAAGAGCCAATTGTCTAATTTGTGTGAATTTCGGGATTTGTTTTAAAGTTTACACGAAACGCAGTGTTTTTTGTCACAAAATGCAAGTGTTTTGTGTGAAGGGATTGAATGCGAAAATGCAGTCAATTTGTCAATGAATTGCAATTCAATTGATTTGAATTCATGTAAAATAAGTCATAAAATGCTTTCCAAACACAACACCATTAATACACTCAACACTTATCGCTACATGTGATGGCATTTGGAGCACATATTTCTTGTGATTAATTCTTAATTTTTTAATAAAGATTTTTGTATAAAATTATCTTAGTAAATAAACTTTCTATTAAATTACATTAAATAAATTAACTAAATGAAACAAAAGTACAAATAAAATCAAGCACATGTATAAATTATTTAAAATAAGCCTCTCGCTCACTCACTTTCTTGTTTCATAACAATTATAAATACAGATCCGTGACAGTGATTATCACTACGCAACCAACATTTAAAACAAAAAACAATTACTAGTGTTTGTTGAGTCAATTAACATCAAAATCATTATTATATCGTGTAAATCTAAAAAAATTTAAACTTGCCTGGCTTATACAGTATTTAAATATACAAGACATAGTATCAAATATTATCTATTTTAAAAATTTAAAACTCATAATAATTGTGTAATCTATTAATCAGATACAATAAATAAAATTAATTAACAATGTGTATAGTACTAGAAAAATTCAATATATGCAACAAAATCTCGGAAAATTTAAAACAAAAAATACAATTAATTTATGTTTTCGACGACTCGTTCGGTACTAATATACTGTTTGTAACGACCGATGATTTAGTGTACGGTTTGGGCGGTAATAACGGTGGGATCCTGGGGCTGGGACACAACACCCCCGTTGAGACCCCACATAACATATCGGAGCTAAATAACAAAAATATACGACATTTTTACCATGGTTATAACTTTGCGTTGGCTGTAAATACCGTTAGTAGCAAGGTTTATAGTTGGGGTCGTAATAAATATGGACAGTTAGGTCGAGAAGGAGATAAATATTTATGGCATAAATCGGATACTATAAAGTTTACTGGAAAGGGAGATAGGTAATTTGATGTTTTACTTTTTGAGTTTTTAAATGTTTAATTTAAATTTCAAATTTTTATTTTATAAATATTTTTATTAAAACATTAATATTTTACAAAATGTACTAGTATTTAATTTATAAATAAATCTGTTTGAAATATACAAATCTGTATATATATTATGCTTTCACAGTACTGTTCAGTCATTTTAAAAGCAAACTTCATATACTGATTGTGTATATTTCTAACCAATTTAAATAACAAAATATCACTAATTATATCAAATTAATCATGCTACTTACTATATTTAAAACAGCCGTTTTAAACAGATTAGTTGTGGCTACGAACACACAGTGGCGCTAACCACCAGTGGACAGGTATATGGTTGGGGTAGTAATGGGTTTGGACAGGTGGGGTGCAATTGTCGAGACTTTTACGCTAGAGCTAAGTGCAGTCCATTGGAGATCCATTTCCCTGGTGACTACAAAATCGACAGAATATTATGCTATGAGTGGACATCGTTTGTGATTACATCGGAGGGACAGGTTTTTATGTGGGGTCGTAGGAGTGGTAGTAAATGTTTTTATAAACCCAAATTAATGCAACATATGAAAAATATCAAGCACATTTGTTTGGATTATAAAACAATATATTTATTATCAAATGACGGAGTGCTATATTTATGCGATTTAAATCAACAGTTGGTTAAAATTATGACCACGCTCAGGTTGGTAATTTACTAACATAATAAAATATATATGCTATAAATTATACGGAAAGTACATATCCACTCTGCTTTAATATTATTATTAATAATTTATTATATTTTAATATTAAAACAAATTTAAAATGTACAATTAGTTTAATTTTATAGCATATCTATTTTAAAGTTTTTTATCATGGAAAATTATAGGATCAATGATATCAAGCAAATATATTCATACGAAAGGGACGAACCATTAACTGCTTGTATATCTGGTGGCAAAATTCACCAGGTTATGTATAATTCACAGGACATTATAGAAACAAA